TGATCGCACATTCGGGGCCAAACGTCGCGTCTGGATCCCTAGAAAAAGACTAGTGTGCGCCCATGTTCTCGCCCATCACCCACGTTCTGGCCCATCCGTACCCTGCGAACCTGGGCCCAAGCACAGACCTTGCCACAAGAAATTCACAGGCACCGGCATCCATGGTGAGCACTCCCACACCTGTAATCCCTGGCGCGCTCCCCCTTTCTTCAGCCGGGGTCGGCGGATATATACATATGTCAATCTAATTGTTACAAGGATGACCGGCTTCAATGCTTCAATTCTTCACAAGTTATACACAGAATGCACATCAATATGATTCAACATGCACATAGATGGGGCCGTGGCCCCCGAAACCGCGCCGAAGAATTCTCACCGCCTTCTTGGGCTTCTTCGGCTCCAGGAGGGTCTTCAGATCCTAAGCTCCAATGACCTCGATGCCCTCGAGGGTGGGCACACGAGTTTGGGACCTGGTGATGCCTGGTGTGAGGTGGAGAGGCAAGCAAGCATAGCCAAGCATAGCACGGCTCAAACATTTGGAGGTGGCTTTCTCTTTTTCGGTTTGCGGTCTGCGAGTCCTCCGAAAACCCACTGTTCTTTGTTTCTTTTCCTCCGTCAATTTTGGTTCGGACAGATGTTCATGGGCGTCGCGGCGTGACTGATTAAAAAAATGTTTGCTCGCCTGTTTTGGTCTGTAACTGCAGAAGCCGGCATAGTTGTTTGGCCAGCGACATGCACCATCGACGGCCACGATGTACAGCTGTCTTCGTGTCTTTGTCCAGCAATCCGATTCTGGATTGGTTATGTCCGCCAGGCCCAGTCGAGATAGTGGAGGAACACACATTCCAAGAGGTCTACTACTTGAGGGACAGTCGCCTCGTCGAAGGCACGGGCGACCCTGGTGGGTCCTGGCGGAGGGGTAGCATGTCCATCCAGGGAAAGATTTTCAAGACTGAACTTCCAACTCCACTCTGATCCAACAGGAAGGAAACATATTCAAAGCTGAGCTTCCCAACTTCAGCGACTTGATCCAAAGCGGCGCGACCGGCGTGCGAAGAAGCCGTCTGCGGCTGGCAGGGCCCTGCGAGAGTCCTGCGTTGTCGGTCTGGTATTTGGCCGCTCGGCACCGTGCGTGGAGTGGAACACTTCGTGGTGCTCTGGAAGAAACCTGGAGAATATATATATATATATACACTTTATATCTAAAGTAATATGTGATATATAGACCCACTAAGAACGGCTTGAAAACCGTTTCGATCTGAATGTATATCAGCATCAGCATCAATGGGCTTCTAACATCTCCGGTCCTAAAGAAAACCATAAACCATCCTTCAACATCCTTGTCACACCCTAACACCGTTTCCAGGCAGGCAAATGGTCAAGTCTCCACATCCCAGATGATCAGTTTTCAGCCATCAGCCCTACCAATGGCACAGCCAAGGTTTGAGCCCACCATGGTCCGGAACCCATGAGAGCCTCCAGAGGGATGTTTGAGAAGAGACGGTCCGCGATCACAGTTGCCACCCGAAGGAAGTTGAGGATCCCTCCCACCATCATGGAACTGGACAATGGCAAAGTGGAAGGCCATTTTCCTCTACCGAGGCAGGTTTGCCCACTTGCATGTTTGTTGGAGGGATTAGGTCTTCTCGGATCCTCTTTTGTTCCCACAGGTTCTGGCGGAGGTGATGTGACATATCAAAAAGCCTTCAGGGCCCACGGTCGGCCCACGGTCAACATATCATGGAACTACATGGAACTTTCAGAAGAAGGCAGGATTCGGCAGGAGTTTCATCCTCTCTTCTTTTGGCTGTGGGTCACACGTACAGAGCCCGGTTCACGCTGCTTTCTGTTCATCTTCTGGAATCCACCGTCCGCCCGTATACTAACACGACCTGGACGCAAAGGAGAGAGCTGAAGGACATTTTTGCTGTATCAAGGTGTCCCTTTCTGTTGGATTTTGCTTGGCTTAGTAGCCTTGACATCCTCGACCCATGCAGAGCAACCTCAGGCGATTTTTTTGCGACCAAGTGTGGGCCGAGCTGATGCGAGTCTCGGATGGACAGAATCGGACTGAGATTCCGAGAGTGGAATGGAACTTCCAGCTGCAACCACAGGACTGCCGCCTTACCACAATTTAAAAGTTGCTCAAGAATCTCTAGGGCGTCTTGATCTTTAAGAGCGTGGCCATTTGGGGAGATTTCGGCGGAAGTTGCGTTTATCTGTGGCGATGCCTGCTGTACATAGAACTCATCCAACTATGGCCAAGTGCTTGAAAGCCGGGTCTGGTCATGTCTTGCAACTGGAAGAAGTTGAATCTGTGCATGACACGGTGGGGTAATCATCGATCACCCCCTGTCCTGCATCCCAAGAAGCATGACATGTTAAGACTTTATAGAATTTAATCAATGTAGTTGGTGGTCAGACGATGTAGTTACCAATGTAGTTCTGGACGCAGAAAGCAAGGCCTCCTAGTCTGGAAGGTTGACAAGTTGTTAAGATGTCATCGAAGGATAGGTCTGGCTACTTGGGCCATGGTTGGGGTCGTTGCAATGCGATTTTGAATTGCGAATTTTAAGCTCGCCTTTTCCTAAGAAGGATCGTTTCCCAGCCGTGAAGCGGACAGCCTTTCTCTTTTGTCTCCAACTTCAATGATAAATGAGTGCAGACCAGAGTGATGCCTTTTTCTTGGCACTTAGAGACAAATCCGGAAACTCTGGTCAGCCTCACGGCTTGTCGAACAAATGCGGGGCTTGTGCAGATGGAGAGCGGGCAGGAACCCATGGAGTGTGTCGCTGAGTGGGCCAGCTGGGCTGCAGAAAGCCAGAAGCCACCTCATGACAGGACCATAAACTTCTAATCTTTTCTTGGGATTCTGGTTTCCCTACTAAACAAGAAGTTCAGCTTTTGGTGTTTGGGTTAGATTGGCTCCACATTTCGCACTTGCACAGCCAAATGAGTTGTTTATTTTTCAGGCACCTTGCCTTGGCCTGGGGGAAGGCGCACAGTAGCTAGCAGCTAGCAACACATGTGCAGAAAGAGGTCCATTTCAGGCATCCCTCTCTCGTTTTGGTCGTGGCTGGCCTCAGTTTTGACCTCACTCAGCGCACCGAACCCTTCGGAGTTCCATCGCCGGTGCGCCGCATTTCAAAAGGCACGCTGTGATTCGCCGGCATGTGCCATTCCTCGTTTCACCTTTAACCCTCCAAATGAAGGCACGGCCGTCTGAGAGGGGATCAAAGGCGTGGGGCGCCAAGCTCGGCAGGGCAGGGCTTCCGTTGAGTGGTGCGAGAACAAGCCTTTTCTTTTCTCTGATGATCTACTTCATGGCACGCTCTCCAGCCAGAGAGAGAGAGAGATATATATATGTATATATTGTATATATATATACAGTAATGACATAGGGGCCATCGCTACGGTTGACCATGTGCGACTACTGACTACTGCGTGTGTGTTCGCTCGCTTGCAGCGCTTGGCTGAGCCGGCTCAAAGGGAGTTATTGGCCCTTGGCACAAAGGGTGCCCTCTTTTGTCAACTTGGGAAGGTCATGCTCCACTGTGCATGATTGTGCATGCAGTCAGACAGGAATCTAATCGCATGTGCTTTGAAAAACAAGATGGTGATGGAACATGCGTCATACCGGCCCAATACCCCACACGGTCTATCATTGCTCCATGGCACAGAGGCCATAGACCAGTCGTGCCAGTCGCCTTCGCCTTGCCACATGGTCACAGCTGGGTGGCCAAGACTCTCAAGGTCCCATTCTTGAGGTGGCTAGCTAGTTCTTTCGAACATGATTGCGCCAGATTGCGAGTCTCAGTCAGGTCGGGCCACATCGTCTTGAGGAAGCCGAGGCGCAGATTAATGGTGCCGAGGATGTGGCGCGGTTGGCGCGGTTTCCTTTGCGGACTTCATCGGTTGAAAATAGGAGGTTTGGCGCGCTGGGCGGAAGTCCAAACCATTTTGGGAGTCCTGGGCTGGGTCTCCTTCTTCGACAGCAGATCGGGGGTCGCGTATGCGACTCCACCATGGATTTATGACAGCTTCGGGCAGACATGGAAGCACACGCCCCAAATCCGATCATTGCGGAAGACAGCTCAGCTTTTTCACGTGGACCGATGAGGTGCCGGCTTCGCTCCGCAGCCTCGGCATTTTCCCTTAGAACATATAAGAGCAATGTCTGGGCAGATTCCCCACTCAACCTTATATATATATATATAGTCTATAAATTTGACTTTTGAGGTGAAGGGAGCCATCTTCGATGTGGATGGCACCCTGCAATGGCCTCAGTGCTCAACTGGTCTTTGTTCCACAGAGTGTGGCCTTGGAAGAGGCATCAAGACAACGGGCTTTCGTGTTAGGAAGGGCGACCTCTCACCACCGAAGGGTTCATGTGGCGTGACTGAGTGTGGTGTGACGTGACTGAGCACTAGGAGACGTCATCAGGCGGTGAGAAGGTCACTTCCATCGCATTTTGCCTGGCCGAACTCAGGCTGGACACCATGCCGATTTTCTACCCCTCTTGGCCCAGGACTGCGTCACTGCGTTGAGTACTGTAAGGCCGTCGTCCAGGTCCCAAGGCTGGGAAGGTCCCAGGTAGAAGTTCTTCGAAAGGTAGGCATGGTCTGGGGATCCGCGATCCAAACAAGATGAGGGACCAATCGGGACCAACAGAAAACCCAGCGGACGATTGCAGGACTGGAGAACAGCCAAGGCACGAGCGCCTTGGAACACCAAGCACGTCAAATCACTGTCAGATGCGCAGACAGGTATTCTGCATATGCCTACTGGTCATTCTCTGTACTCCTAAGTTCAACATCCAGTTATGTCCCTTGTAGAGGAGCAATCAGACTAGCATTTTCTTGTTCCGAAGATGTTCGACGTAAGACCCTAAAACTTTCTCCCCCTAGGCGTCCAGGGCTTAGGACGCGGCTGATTGAGAACCAAGATGCCCCCGGCCACTCTTCTCCTTGGGGGGCACCAGCACTGATCTGGCAGTCAGTGGCTGGCAGGTTTGGCCTAAGAGTCTCGGAGGAAGACTTCTACCGCTTGGCAGGCAGGCAGAAGACGGCAAACATTTGGAGGGAAACTGGGTCAAGATGCTTAGGGGGGAGACTGGGTCCATTTAGGAGACCACCATCTCTTCATCCCCAAGACTTTTGTAGATCAAACCTCGTGCACCTAAAACATGGCTGGGACGGGCTCCTCAGGTGTGCCGACACTGGGTGTCCACCTTTTATGATGATGGCTTCGCCTTTGGAACATGATTCAGGGTATTGCGGTCATATGGCTGTACATCGAGACCATCACCACTGCAATCACATAGTCCTATGAGTCCAAAGCAAAGCTGTGGAGTATATTCCTGGAGCTATGTTTCAGACCATTCTTCTGGACCAAACGCCTGGATGATCCATGCTTATCCCATGCTTGCGTAGCGCAACTCCCGACTCTTTGCCCTGGGGGCCCCGTGCTGCCGAGAAAAGATCTCCTGGAGATGGTGTGCAGCCGACCCAGATGGTGTGCAGCCCACAATGCTCCGACCCCTCCGGGAAGCTTTGGCCGCTCTGGTGGGCACGAGCGAGAAACCAGATGCTGGGACCAGTCATGAAAACAGCTCATACCATACTTGGCAGGGTGAGGGGGTGTTTGAATCCAACGGTGTGACGTCAACACCAATGAGAACACCTCTGAAAGTGGGCTGCGGCATCTGATCCGGGGCATCCGCATGAGGCTTATAGAATGGGAGGGCCAATGAAACGATTTATAGATACCAGCGTTAGGAGATATTAGGAGGATGAAAGATCCAAATGGAGCCTTTTCAGGCGTTCCTTTGCCTGACATGGTCGGGGGGCCCGTGCGAGGTGATGCGACACTGTGCGGGGTGGTGGGTGCAGCACCTGTCCAGGGAGTGGGGACATGTGGATAGAGGGGCAAAAGAAGGTGTCCTGCTTAGCCGGATGGCAGGTCAAACGCAAGACTCCAGGAGCGAACGTGCCGAACTAAGGGGTGTTTTACCCCTGGAGCCAGTTTGTGATGCCCTGGAGCCAGGTTGTAGAGGAAAATCATCTTGCAGGTCCTCCTTCGCCACCTGCTCCGCTTCGCCGGGCCATGGCTGGTGAACGGCGGTTGCAGGTGCAGCGACTCCACCGGGCGCAGAAGGGCCAGAAGACCCAGGGGTGGACTCGTTTCCTGGGTTGGTGTGGTTTCTTTGGGTGGGACAGCGTGGCGATTTTGTTCGGGCGCGGAAGATTGGTATGTACAGTGATCCCATGTGATCCCATGTGATCCCCAGCACGGTTTCCAATACATTTTTGGTGGGCATCATCTTGTCTATGTCCCTGCGAAAAACCGGCTGGAAGATGCTGAGATTGCAGTCTGACTGCCGTGCTTCTTGATGCCGAGAGTGCGAATCTTGCTGCTTCATCCATATCTGCCATTTTTTAAACAAGCAAGTTAGACTTGTATGATTTGTTTGGAAATAACGCAGGTCAAGTCACCGTTGGACGCATCTAGTACAGACACACCTCCGCTGTGATCTAACGCATATGTAACCTTTAACTAAGTACTGTAACTTGATCGGGTCCAGAGATGCGTCGGGGGTCTGATCCGCCCAGGCTGTGAGGCCACGCCCGCCTTCGTGCCGCTCGGCGGGGGAAAAAGCGGAGCGCAGGCGAGAGACACTTGGGCATGGCACACGACCAATAAGGGGTTGGAGTAGGTAGTACGATGCCAGAGCTTGAGAGGGAGCATGGGCTCAGGCTCAGCCTATCTAAGCCTTTGTTCCGGACTGCCACGCACACAGTTTGAGTTGCCACCAGATCAATAACGACTGAATCCATCAGAACCCTTAGAACCCAGGTGCCGACACACTGGTAGATGACGGATGCAGGATAGGCGGGAGTGGGTAGACAGAAGAATGGAGCCATACCCAGCAAACCTCAGGTGCTTGATCATGCTCTTTTTTGAAGGTCCTTCCTATGGAAGCCCCAAGGTAAGTGGGTCACTACCAAGAACATGTCTGAGATCACGGGGCCGATTGACAGCAGTTGGACAGCGTGTGCGCAAAGGAAGGACTTCATTGATGAGAAGATCCGACTACACCAAGAAGAGGAGGTGGGGAATCGTGAAGGGAGTGGCATCTAGGATGGTGAAGTGCATCCTCAGAAAGCCCAGCTCCCAAATCGCCCTTTGTGCAGGCGGAGAAGGGACATCCACCGGCCATTTCGTGTGCTCCAGCCTGAGGAGCCTGAGGGCTTCACAGGTCCTGAAGACCATGGGAGGGGGGGGCCAACACTTGGAGCAGATGGCACATTCTCCATTCTCCACGACCGGAGGTAGCATGTTCCTCGGTTGCACGTTCCTCGGCTGATGTTCTTTTCGTCTGACTGGGCCAAGGTGGTGGCCCTGGCAGAGGACTACCTCAGGTGCGGCTTTCTCTGTGCGAACCACGTGTTTTTTTTCATGTTTTTTTTCCTGGAGCGGTTGGGTTGAGACCCGTGTGAAAAGTGGGGTTAGACATGCAATGCTTGGTGGTGAATCTTGATATTTCCCCTTCAATCATGCAACTGTGCTTGATTTCTGCTTATAGTACCTTACAGTGACAAAAAACTAGCTCCTGCCAGCTTGAGTCATGTTATGGCTGGCAGTTCCACTGCGGTAGTAACTCTACAGCACTGTCATTGGTGGACACACGGCCAGACGCACACACACACACACTTAATTGGTGCTCGCAAGAGCTGAGTCAGTGAATGAAGTTCCACTTTAGAAATTACACTACCGATCTAGAGCGCTGGAACCTGGACCTGGTAACAGCCCTGAGCAGAACGGCAAGGTGAAGGAGTCGGCCTGAACAGTATGGTTTAACCAAAAATCCTACGTGAAGGTTGCAGGTACGTTCAACAGTGTCTTTGTTAGGCAGTCGGCAGTGACTGTTGAAAGGATCACTGCCCCCCTGCACGTGTCCATTCAAGGTGAACTAGGTTGTGCAACATCCTTGGGTACAGGGGCTGACACACACAAAAAGCCGGGAGTCCGGCGCGCTCTCTTTTTTCTTCGCGGGTGGGGGTGGGGGGGGGAAAGGGAGTGCGTTGACTAAACGAGCCTGGATGTCCACCTAACAAGCCTGAGAGAAAGAACAAGGCAAACGAAAAGGCAAGAAAAGAAGAGAAAGGTGCAAGGGGTGCAGGGGTGGGCAGGGTGTGCATTGACTAAACGAGGATGTCCACCTACCAAGACTGAGAGAAAGAACAAGGCAAACGAAAAGGCAAGAAAAGAAGAGAAAGGTGCAGGGCGTGCGGGGGCGTAGGGTGGGTGTGTGGGTGTGCTTGCCCGAAGGCGTGACACAAGCCGTAACCGGTACTCCCTTGACTGAAAAAGCCTCCGTTAAACCTAAAAAGCCTCTAGAAAACGAAAAAAGGACTAGAAAACGAAGAGCAACAGCAGGAAGGAAAGAACCGAAAAGTGACTACTTAGCCGCATGTGTCCCCCCCCGCCCACCTAGCAGCATGTGAGGATCCGGTCTGGAGTTTGATCGCAGTAAGCCCTGCGGTTTCGATCGGCAATCTCGTGCAAAACCGCAAGCTAGTGAGAGCCCGAGAGAAGGTCACCGGAAGATAGAAGAAACGATCTGTGAGGGGCCCCCAAGTCTGGGTCCATGCACATGCTGCGCCCCTCGATGGGGATCACACCACAGCCCTCCGTGGGACTCTGTGGCAACACACACTTAGATTGGTGCTCGCAAGAGCTGAGTCAGTGAATGAAGTTCCAGTTTAGCGATGGCACTACCGATCTAGAGCGCTGGAACCTGGACCTGTAACAGCTTTGAGCAGAACGGCAAGGTGAAGGAGTCGGCCTGAACAGTATGGCTTCAGCAAAAATCCTAAGTGAAGGTTGCAGGTACGTTCAGAGAGCGTCCTCTCCGAATATCACATCCGATCAACAGTGTCTTTGTTAGGCAGTGACTGTTGAAAGGATCACTGCCCCCCTGCATGTGTCCATTCAAGGTGAACTAGGTTGTGCAACATCCTTGGCTACAGGGGCTGACACACACCGGACACCAACAACGCTTCAGCAGGAAAGCGCATCACGAGACGCTGCGAGCGGTACCTGCTCCACCAAGGGCAACATACACTGCGACCGGTGCTGGGCCGGCTATGGTAGGCTAAGGGCTGCTCAACCTGTCTATGATCTTCACCAGTGTGGCATTCCGCTCGCATCACAGGCACGAGTCACAAGCAAGCGCCACTGTTATTTTGCGCTGGAGACGTACCATTTCGCATGGTTTGAAAGGACGCTCGTTCAGTTAGCTGCTCAAGTACATAGAGAAGAACAATTCCTCGCTAAAGACAAGGTGCAAATGATCGCACATGCATGAATCTGTGTCGTTTTTCTCCCGGGAAATGGTCAGCACTTAGAGTGAGGCTCGCACACGGTGAAGCCGAGGCTTACATGTTGCAGCACGATGTAACTGTCTCACCATGCGACATCGCGTAAAGCGATCGTAGTATTCCAAACGAACTGGCCCGACCTTTTGGTTCAGCAGTTGGACTTCATTATGCGCCCATTTGGGATTCCATTTCTCCACCACTGATCTTCAGTTGCCAGGGATCTGATGGATGCCAATGGCGCATGTCAAACACCCCGGCTCTCGGATCCACTGGACCCATTCCTTCCTTCCGCCGTGGGCCGTTTTTCATCTCTTTGGTTTTTCTTTGGTAGCGTCGCTTCAGCGTTCAACACCTTTTATGGATTTGTGCCGTTTTTTTCAGCGCCTTCCTCGGCATTGGCGTCGAAAGATGGACGCTCTCTCCGTGTGCCGTTCTCGGTCCAAGCGCAGGCGTGGGATTCCCGTGGCCATCGCCACTTCGGGCATCAAGGGGATCGTGCCGGGCACTGAGATGGACCTCACCCGGACCGGGCAAACGGGCACCTCTATGACAGTTCCCTTGGATCAGCGTGGGTCTGGGGCCGTGGCTCGGTTATGATCGTCAAGACCCACATTTGATGACAGAAGCTTTTGGCAGTGCAATTATATCAGTGAGCTTTGAGCATTTTTGAGCTGCTGTTCTGTAATTTGCGTGCCACATGGGGCAGACGAGGCCCTGGTTTCAACACCGCCCCAGGTTGCAGCACTTGGAGGCTGCCGGGCTTAAAGATTTAGTCCCAGCCGAGTCCGGGGCCGAGTACGCTGGCGCCTTTTATACGGCAAAAAACTCCCAGTGAAGTCATGTGAAGTGTTTTGCAGTGGATGGAGGGTATATATAAACTCCAAATTCAAATAGATAGAAGAGAGAAATCCTGGGGTCTATATGCATATATAAATATATTGATGGTTTGCAAAAGCAAACAAATCAAAAAAACAAAAAAGCAAATGAAAAGCACCAACAAAAAAAGACATCTAAGCAGCAAAAGAAAGCAACAACGAGAAAACAGAGCGCCCCCGAAAGGTGCCAAAGCGAAACAACAAAAAAACAAACAACGAACAAAATGCGAACAAAAAGCGGACAAACCGCGAAACAAGGACGCCCCCCCCCCCCCCCCAAAAAAAAAGTAAACAAGCGAACACAATAGGACGCCATTGCTTTTTCATTGGCTTATTTTTTTGGTTGCTTTTGCTTTTTCATTTGCTTTTTGTTTGTGACTTTTTTGTTTTGACTTGTTTTTTTCATTTGCATTTTTTACTTTTTGATTCTTTTTGTTGCATTTCTGTTTTGCTTTTATTTTGCATTTTGATTATTTTCAAGATTCTCAGAGTTAGCCTGGGTCCGGCGAACACAAAAATACATACTGTATGTATATATAATATGTATACTTTATGAGGGATGGGTATATGATACCGATACCTTCAAATAGATTTACAGTAAACAATGTTTCAATTTGTTTTGGAAACCGGTATCAAATACTTTGAGGTGCATGGTTTTTGCCTCAGACGTGCCCAAGGGGAAGCCGGGGCCCCCAGATGAGTGCAGCAACCCAGAAACGAGAACCTCAGAGCACTTCAGACTTACTGTAGTGCATGGGTGGTGTGCATTTCTTGAGAAGTTGCCTAAGTTGGCTACGATTTGGCTTCCACTTTTCCACTATAGTCGCAGTCTCATGTGATCATTCCATCCCTCCACCCTGCGAGCCAATGTCGCTTTCCAGGCCGTTGTCCTTTGCTGGTTTTCCTCGATGGGGGCTGCTTCACCAAAAGTGAGACTAAAGTGGAGAAGTGGAAGACGATTTCGTAGCCAATTCGGGCCACCTCCAATTGGTAGCCCGTGCACCCAAAAAGGCAAGTGGAAACGCCCATGTACCAAGTCTCAGACCAGGCCAGATCCCGCCATCTACCTGGAGGCGGCACGACGCCTGGGCGTGGACCCGACCAAGTGCCGGGCCTATGAAGACGGTGAGAGCGGACTGCAGTCTGCAGTGGCTGCAGGCATGGAGACGGTCGGGAGGCCCGCCAGGATGGGGTGCTGCTGGGCGGGGCCAAGCGCGAGCCATCGAACAGGTTTTGTTTGAATGATGCGGTGTGGCATGGAGATTAACACACCCAATTGTTTCAATCAGCAACCAACGGGTTCTGGTCTATTTTCCTTCTTCCACGGGGGTCGAACTGGGAGGTCCCTTTTTGCACCCGGACCGCATGACTTTACGATCAACGGTGTCACACTCGGCAAACACATAAGATGTTGAGAGATTCATTCACGTTTGACCAGTCAGCTGCCAGATGAGTACTATGGTGGCAGCACTGAGCGCTTTCCTCTCCCTTCTTCGCCCCCTCAACCCAGGTGGACGTGACCTTCATGGAGGGCTACCCAGCCCCGGAGGCCTTGCGCCAGGCGTGGATGAAGTGAGCGAAGACCAGGGTCTCTGAAGTCCAAATCTGATGTTTTTATGAATACCTCTGTCGCAGTAACAGTATAGTGTACTATGTTTTCGCATGTAGAATCTTGATTGACAAATACACCGCCCATTTGAATTGTGGCTCTTCACCTGGGCGACTTCCGACCAGTGGGAGTCTGGGCTTGGGGTGTTGGAGTCCTTAAGCATGCCCATCCCACTGCTCTACTGCCCTACGGCGTAGGCCCCATCAACCTTCAGCCACTGTTGTCTGGTGTTCCAGGCCAAGGAGGAACAGATCAGGGAGAGGACATGGCTACTGTGAGCTGGGCAGATGGGCTACCGGAAGTCCAGACTTGACGGGGATCTGGGGAGTGTTGGGTAGCACCTATCGCACCGCGATATGTGCCAAAAAGCTGCGTGGGCTGTGAGCGGCCAGACTTGACTTGAACATGCCAGCGGCCAACCTGAGAACCGCCTGAGCCGTCCTTGGGTTTGGAGCGTATGCATGCCGACCAAATTCAATCGTGTCGACTTGCCATGACGTGACATAATTCAATAGAGTGGTGAAGTAGCAGCTGGCAGTTGATCCTCTTGAGGCTCACAACTGCATGGAACATCACGGAACATCTAGTGATCTTCGCAGCCGTTGGGGTCACAAGAGCAAGGTACAAGAGAGGACGTTGGGGTCACAAGGGACGGCAGATGAAAGCGACGCCTTCACTTTCAAGGGCCTGGGCTGAATCCTTGCATCATTACATCACTTGCAGGGTGTAAGAGCATGGTATAGTGCCAGAAGGATGGTATACTGCCCTTCGAGGTGGCAGGTTCATTAAAGCTGGCCAACCAAGGCCAACATCTCTTATGCGCAAAAAGACGTTTACACAAACTTCAGACTTGCTTTGATGCGTGACGTTGAGCCAAAGAAATCTCCACTGCTGTGAGCCTTTGAGCCGGGCTTTTTTGCACGTGCCCCATGTCGAAAGCCGATCGCGCTCGGCAGCTGCTGAAAGAGAAACTGTTTGCCTTTGAGCTCTTCAAGGACACTGATGACCTGGGAGTGTTGCCAGGTCGAGGTGCAGCTTGAGGCCGAAAGAGGCCAAAAGAGGCCGCCAGGGTAGCCCAGTCAAGAGAGGTTGGTCCGCGAGTTTGAGATGTGGACTTCGTCGCGTGGGCATCTTAAGTGCGAATCAAGACTTGTGCCAGGAGCTCTCAGCCTCCTTAAAGGATGAGCTGGTGGCAGTGGTTGAACAGGTGCGGATAGCACTGCTGCGGCTGATGTCCCCGCCTAACAATGCACATTTTGAAGGAACAACATGCTCCAAGTGCACATACATGCTCAGTCTGGCATGAGCCGTGGTGTCCTCACCACCCTCCTTGAAGCACCACAGCACGGGCAGTTCCCAAATCTCAACCCTTCCAGGTTTCGTCATGGCTGCAAAAGAAAACAACAGGAAAAAAACACAGAAAAAGTACACAAAAAAATCCCAAAACACAGGTATTCATTGTGTACACTGTTTCTCGCAGGTCTCGTATTCTCCAGGAACACTTCTCTTCAGCGAGGGCGATCCACCGGAGGAGCCGTCGATCCGGTTTCCGAGTCCTCCGGGGCCAGCCAGAGGATGCGGGGCGTGTGGCATAGGTAGATAAACAATGACACATTTTTCGAGCCTGGCACATGTTTTGGAATTTTTGTTGGGCGAGGGAATTGGGCTGATCCGGACCACTCTGAAAAATCCTGCAAGGACATCTACTTGCTGGTGGAGGGAGAGGCCAGCTGGGATACCCCAAAGAGCTCCAAGCGCTCCAAGTGTTGAGAAGTTGAGAAGTTGAGAAGTGACAGCGGAAGCTTGGCCTACGAAGCCAAGCCAGCTCAGATGATGTTTGTACTTTGTTATGGAATAGGCCTGTGGTCGGAGCTCATTATATAAGCCTTCGAGCCTTGCGAAGCAGGTCTTGGGCCTTTATGAGATTCACTGTAGGAGTAAGACATCCAGATGTTCAATTTGCTGACCTTTGTGCCTTTGCCCCTAGCCTTATCATCCGATCATCCAATCCCAAAGGATCCGGATGTGTATTTTTTCTCTCCTCTCATTGGTGCAGCAGCACACGGGTCCGTGGAAGTCAGGTGAAGTGCTTCAACAGGGTCTCTGACCCTGAAGCCGCTTGGCTCAACTCCGACTTGTGAGATCACCCCACCGGACTCGCAACCAGCTCGTACGATCAACCCCTGCGCAACCGCTCGACCCATGCAACCTCCGAAACCAGCTCGTTGAGATCCAAAGCAGCGGCACCAGATCGCCCCTCCGCCGCTCCGGGTCGGGAAAGCGCCGGAGTCCAAACGCGTTGCCCCAGGCTGAGGGCGAAGCATCCCCTCGACGTCAGTCCCTGTCGATGAAGCGTCCATCGATACAGGGCATCGAGGTCCCGCATCGCGTGGCGTCGCGTGGCGTGGCGTGGCACCTGGTTTTTCCGGCCTCGGATGGGAGCAAAGTGGACATCTGGACATGGGGACAACGCAATCTCTTTTTCTCCGTCCGGTGGTTTTTCCCCAGATAGCGAAGCTATGGGTTTTTTACTTCAAATAACAATGAGTTGCCCGTGCGCGCTTTCGAGACAGGTTGCTGGTGCCGGTGCTGGCGCTGGCGCTGGTGCTGTGAGCTGGCTGTGCACGCGGTGGAGACAGGTTGCTGGTGCCGGTGCTGGTGCTGGGTGCCGGTGCTGGTGCTGGTGCTGTGAGTTGGCTGTGAGACAGGTTGCTGTTGCTGGGTGCCGGGTGCTGGTGCTGGTGCTGTGAGCTGGCTGTGCATGTGGTGGAGACAGATTGCTGGTGCTGGTGCCGGGTGCCGGTGCCGGTGCTGGTGCTGGTGCTGTGAGCTGGCTGTGCACCCGCCGCTTCTGACAGTGAAGGGTAACAAACCGCCGCTTGCAGCAGTGAAGGGCGACCACAATATGACAATGAAGTGCATGAACTTATGCGCGCAACATCATACGGTGTTGTCGCTTGAGCGTTCTTTGTCCATTAGCGCTGTGGGGTATTTACACTCTTCAGGTTCTGTTTTGGCCGACAGCCGTGTCAAGGGCTGTACTCTTTGCGCGCATACTTTTGTACGTATCATGTTCTATGCGCAACGTCAGGCTCTCAACCGAAAATTGTTTCAGCATGCTACACACACAATAGTCGTGCTGGATACTGCTTGGCCTTGGGCCAATGACACTTACGGGTTTTGCTGTTTGCGCGCATACTTTTTGTGCGCATAAACTTATACGCGCAAGATCATACGTTGTTATTCCCCAAATAGGGATCGCTATGGGGTTCTTGCTGCAAATAAGATTGAGCTGGCTGCGCGCGCTTTCGAAAGGGTGTCGGTGCTGGTGCTGGTGTTGTGGTCCTGGGTGCTGGTGCTGTCAGCTGGCTGAGCGCGCGTTTAAGGCGGGCGGCGGCGCTCGACCTGCCGGTGTTGTCAGCTGGCAAAGCGCACCGGTGCTGGTGTCAGCTGATTGTGCGCGCTGTGGAGGTGCCGTACGCTATCGTACGCTGGCTATGCAGGCTGCGTACATTCTTGTTCCAGCCAGTCGTATGTCAACAGGTCGTGGGATTCTGCCTAGCTATCTGGGCCTATGCTGGTGTAGTTTTCTTCGTTCCTTTTCCGTGTTCTCCCTGAAAGAGGACGAGGGGCTTCCAAGCCGCAGTGTGATCACCGGTTGCATGTGCTTTGTGTCGCAGTGTCGCTTGACAGCAAGTGACTGCCATGTCTGGCGCTTGATGTCGGCATTCCACACGCCAGGCGGTCGACTTTGGCCAGTGTGTGAATGTGATCCATCCTGGTCGAGCTATAGGCTTGCTGCCCGAGCTTTAGGATTCCTATTGTGGTTGGGCTTCGCATGTTGGGAGTAGGTCAAAAAGGTTTTGATTGAGGACCTGCATTCGGATACCAGAAACATGTTCTTTCGGCGCGGCACCACGTCTCTTTGGCCACCGGAGGGATCCAGGCCTTCGGAAAAAACACGTCATTTGAACTGTACCTAGACACCCGGCCCCAACCAGAAACATTTGGATGCTTCCCCCGGTCCGAGTCCCAAGTACACTTGTGATGCAATTTAAAGAATCTCATATGCCATATTTGTGTGGACAACATTGGACAACCATTTGTTTCTGGTTGTTTGTGTCTTTACACCGTTGGTGTCAGCGCAGCTCGTCCCTCTTAACTTAAAGGCGTCGTGGAGCTGATGCAGAACCAGCCGCGCTCCACCACTGCGGCGTGTTCGCAAGCCTGTGAAGCCATCATCATCAGGACGAAGACTGTCGTGAAGACGGCGCCTGCGGCGCTGTGTGAGAGAAAGAAATGGAAAAACCGATCGTGGGCATGGCCTTGTGCGGGTATAACCCTATTATTAGGTGGGTCCTGCCTGGGGGGTCTTGGTAGGCGTTGACCACTCACCCGTCAAGGTCGCTGGAACGGGATGAGGAGCCTGCCCTCCGCCCCCCGGACGAACGGCGCCGGAGAGTCGGCTCGTGCGTCGCGTCGCGGGCGCCCGGGCCATCCGGGCGGCTGACAGGAAACAGGACTTCTTGAGATTGGTGAAGGAGAGTATGTCTCGCGACTGGGTGGAGAAGGACAAGCTTCTTGGAGAAAAATACTGTATCCCTTGCTATGGTCTAAAATTCGGGCAGCTAGGGGCAACTTTCTCCATAAGGGTGCCTAGGCAACCTGTTGGTATCTAATACTAAAATATACTAAAACTGTGTTCCTACTTTGGAAGCTCCGGAAGCTTGGAGCTGACGAGGGGCAGGACAGACGGACAGGAACCTTGAAGTGTGATACATACTGGAGGTTGATTCGGGGGCCAATCATGGAGCCTGGCATAGATTCTTTTTTGGCTTCGAACGCCTTCTCATATTTTTTCATAATTTTTGGAGTCCCTACTAGCAGCTAGCACATTGCACCTTTTTGCACTGGTGCTGGCAACTGGTGCGGAATTCTGCTTGTGGCAAGCTTCACAAGTTCAGCATGCTTGTTGGATGGTGATCTTGGTAATCCTGATGGGAGCAAGAAGTCCTTTTCAAGCAGGCATGTTGTATAACATGGATTTGGATGGGTTGATGAATGGATTTGGCTTGGATATGATACTGTAGTGCTCTTCAGTTTTTGTCGTCCTTTTGTTCGGCTCCTGAGGTTCCTTCAAACCCATTTGGTGGGGATTCGTGACCATGCCCGCCACTTTGTGCCGATCACTGGGAAGTACGGCGACCCAGGTGGTCTGAAGGATGGAAGGACCGAAGGAGGACCACATGCGAAGAAAATGATGAGGGATGCCCTTCCTTTGGCCAAATCAGCTGAATTGATCCTCCAAACAGGTCGTTCTTGGGACCTGAGCAGGGAGGGAGTCACATTTTCTCGCCGCCAGTCCTTGGGGCATGGCATGTTGGCATGTTGGCACCTCAGGTGCACTTTTTTATTGCCCATTGCCCAGGTCCCATGCAACCTACATGTTCGTCAAGCGAAAATATCCCGGTGGCCACGTCTTTCTGCGCGAGGCTCGGGACCAGGGCTGTGGGTGACTGCGGACGCGTGGGAAATAGTATCCAAGGCGGTGCTGGAGTTAGATTCTTTTTCATGGACTGGGAGCTGCGCACCATTTTTATGGAACAGGCATGTGGCCGAAGAGGGTCGGTTGGCCTAACCCCAGCATCTTCACAGCAAAAGGTGGATTGTTAAAACCTTCCAAGATGTGGAGATGTGGAAGGCCAATCCTCAGAGAGAGAACTAGACTCCAACGTCACGGGCTGTCCAAGATGGGCTTTTTTGGGTCTTCCTTCGGGAACGCCCCGACGTCCGCATGTCCGCGTGTCCTGCCGCGATGCATGCCTAACCGTCCAACACGTCTGACCACTGGATGCCATGTCGACTCGTTGAGGGGAACCACGTGGATGGCGCCATCTACGTGATCCACCAGGGCTCTGTGAACTTCTTCCGGGCCGCGCCAGGTGCTTCGAACGGGTTCGGTGGAAGAGGAGAAGGAGGAGCTGAGTTCAACAGTTCATCGGTGTTGGTAGGTGCCAATTTTTGATGGCCCCTAAAGACTCTAAGCGATGTAGCATATTCAGTTCTGTGGCACTTGTTTAAATGTGTTCAACTCACTTCATATAATTAGGCATTAGTTTCATCCATCTTCTCTGTAAACCAGCACTGGTTTGGGAAACCCCTCTTGGATGTCGATCAAGCCTTGAAATTTTGGATTTGGATGGCGTGACAGGACGCGGACTTGGATGTTGACCCAAGAAGGCTTCCCAAAAATACCACCAGGAGATTGGATCTGGATGTGGAACCTGAACATACCTGACACATCCTGAAACCATCGGAAGAACTGTGAGTTTCATTGAGCCCCACCTGATTCTTTCCCCGCACCACCCCGGGCTTTTCCGCCGCGCGGGCTTTTCCGGCGCGGCGTGGTCGCGTCACGCGGCGCAGGTGCTCCGAAGGCTGAGACAAGCTGGCGGAACCCCGTCCGAGGACCTGAGGGTGTTCCAGGTGTTTCAAAGACAACGGAGCACGGGTGACAGCGAGCCGAAGGACCGAAAATGACCGGACTGAGCTGACAGGTGGACTGAGGTGAACTCAGGATGACTCAGGTGGATGGGGTGGCTGTTTACTGTGAAAGATTGCGTGCTGGAGGGCTCGTTCGCTTCGGATTCGTCTGGGCGCAGAGGCCCCCAGGCGTAGCATGGCAACACTATTGAATTCTAAATATAGGCTATAGGTCCTATAGGTGGTTCCAACTTTTGTTTTCGTCTTCTGGCAATGCTTCAGGTCATGGAGAAGGGGAAACCCTTAGGTCTCCTCCAGCCCACCAGCGCGGGGGTGCTGGCACGCGAGTATCGGTGGCTTGGCGGTGTAGCCAGGGAAGGTGGGGCGTGGCCCATCAAGGGGCCCAAGACGACAAGTGTCCAGTCGTGGAAGCATTCCGATGCTTTCCGTCAAGTCTGCTTTTCGAGAGATTGGGTCTCCTGGCCCCCCTAAGTACAGACCTTTCTTCGGTCCGATCATATTCAACAGAAAACAGCTGAAGAGTCGGAGTTCCCATCCACCGCCTGGTGGATTGGAACCTAGGATCGTACATAGGTGGTCTCCTCATGTTTTCCATCTCTCAAGACCCCGCGAAGAGTGCATCAAACATTCCTTGTTTCAACTGGTACTGTTTCCCTTCTTGGTCACCGTCCTTCTTTCTCTGCCGGTCCTTGAGGCTGTGCGCCATGTTGCCTGGTGGTGTCTTCAGCAGCTCCCCCGCTGCCGGCAGTGTGGGGGCGGAACCCTTTTCTGTGGTCGCAGGAGCCAAGCCCGGAGTTGGGGGAGTACAGTGGGAATGAGTGGGTTTGGAAGGGAAAGTGAAAGAGGAGACGTAGATTAACTGGAGACGTATGTATGGAGATCATCAGATTTTTGTCCATGACAGACTTGGGTGGAAAAGGGCCTCGGTTGAAGAGTTCTTATACATTTATAGATGATCGATGGACACGCTGACATTTACATGTCTCTCTAGATGAATCTGATGGAGATGACGGAAAGCGCTGTAGCGCTTGGAAGTATTACCGAAAGGGAAGGGGGGGGGGGGGGGGGGGGGCCAGCTGATTTGCAGACCGTGGGTGCTTTTTTTTGCATGTTCGAAGGTGCATAAAACACTGTAATTTACAGTA